AAAGAGCCTAGATGTCTGTCAACAGATGAATGGATAATGAAGATGTGGTACACACACACACACACACACACACACACACACACACACACACACAGGAATATTATGCAGCCAACAAAAAATTGAAATCTTGCCATTTACAACAACGTGGGTAGAACTAGAGGTTATTATGCTAAGGGAAGTAAGTCAGAAGAAGACAATTATCATATGATCTCATTGACACATCGAATTTGAGAAACTAGAAAGAGGATCATAGAGGAAGGGAGGGAAAATGAAACAAGATGAAACTGGAGAGGGAGACAAACCATAAGAGACTCTTGATCTCAGGAAACAAACTGAAGGTTGCTGGAGGGGAGGGCGGTAGAAGGGGTGGGGGGGCTGGACCATGGACATTGAGGAGGGTATGTGCTATGGTGAGTGCTGTGAATTGTGTAAGACTGATGAATTACAGACCTGTATCCCTGAAACAGATAATACATTATATGTTAATAAAAATAAATAAATTAAAAATAAATACAACATGTAGTTTTCAACAAACAAAAAAATCATGAATCATCCAAAGAAACAGTGAAGAGTGCCCATTTACCAAGGAAAAAAAAAGATGATTATAAATACTAACTCAAGGGGACCCAGATGTTGGGATCAGCAGAGAAATATTTTGAAATGGGTATTATAAATCGTGCAAAAAAGAACCAAAGGAAACCATATTTAAAGAATTAATTGGAAGAATGATGATAATTCAAATAGAGAATATCAATACACAGAAATTATTAAAAAAAAAAAAAAAGAACCAAATGGAAATTGTATTCTGAAATGAAATATTCAAGGGGGACTCAACAACAAATCTGAGCTGGCAGAAGGAAAAAATCATCCAACTCAAAGATCAATATAGATTATGCAATCTGAAAAACAAAAAGAAAATAGAGTGACCTGTAGGAAACTCAAACCAACATATAAGTAATGGGAGTTCCAGAAAGAGGAAAGAAAAATATTAGCAGAAAAAATATTTGAGGATATAATGACCAAAAGCTTCCCAAATTTGATTTTAAAAACAAACATTAAACTACATATCTAAATAATGAACCCCAAATTGGCTAAACAAAAAACATCCATACCTGTACACATCATAGTAAAAACTGCAGAAAACCAAACAGAAGTTTTTGAAAGTAGCAAGAGAAAACAATTTATCAGATAAAAGGGAACAACAGGATTAACAGCTCACTTCTCATCAGAAATAATGGGAAGCTAGAGGCAGAGGAATGATATATAAAATGTGCTGAAAGAAAAAAAGCAAATATCTTAACCAAGATTTATAACCCCCGTGGAATGACAGAAGAGCCTGCACAGCCAAAGCAATCCCAAGAAAGAACAAAGCTGGAGGTAACACAATTCCAGATTTCAAGACATACACAAAGCTTTGGTAATCAAAACAGTATGGTATTAGCATGAAAAACAGACACACAGAGCAATGGAACAGAATAGAGACCCCAGAAATAAACCCACATTTATATGGTCAATTAATCTATGACAAAGGAGGCCAGAATACACAATGGGAGAAAGTCATTTCAATAAATGCTGCTGGGTGGGGCGCTTGGGTAGCTCAGTGGGTTAAAGCCTCTGCTTTTGGCTCAGGTCATGATCCCAGGCTCCTGGGATTGAACCCCGCATTGGGCTCTCTGCTTGGTGGGGAGCCTGCTTCCCTTCCTCTCTCTCTGTCTGCCTCTCTGTCTACTTGTGATCTCTCTCTGTCAAATAAATAAATAAAATTTAAAAAAAATGCTGCTGGGAAAACTGGACAGCTACATGTAAAAGAATGAAACTCAATCATTTTCTTATACTATACACAAAAATAAACTCCAAGTGGAATAAAGACCTAAGCATGAGACCTGAAACCATAAAAATCCTAAAAGAGAACAAAGGCAACAATTTCTCTAACATCAGTCATAGCTACATTTTTCTAGATGCGTCTCCTAAGGCAAAGGAAACAAAAGCAAAAATACTGGGACTAGATCAAAATAAAAAGCTTTTGCACAGTGAAGGAAGTCATCAAAAAAAAAAAAAGACAACCTACTGAATGGGAGAAGATACTTGCAAATGATATATCTGATAAGAGTCTGATATCCAAAATATATAAAGAACTTATATAACTCAACATCAAAACAAAAACAACCCCCCAAAACCACCACCACCACCACCACAAAAACTGATTTAAAAAAGGGCAGAGGAGCTCAACAGACATTTTTCCAAAGAAGACATACAGATGACCAACAGACATGAAAAGATGCTCAATATCACTCATTATCAGGGAAATGCGAATCAAAAACACAATGAGATATTATCTCATGCCTGTTAGAATAACTAAAATCAAGAAGATAAGAAACAACAAAGTAAGAACATGGAGGAAAAGGAAGCCCTGTGCACTGTTGGTGGAAATGTAAATTGGTACAGCCTCCGTGAAAAACAGTATTGGAGGTTCCTCAAAAAATTAAATCTGAAATACCACCTGATCCAATAATTCCACTACTGGGTATTTACTCAGAAAAAATGAGTACACAAACTCAAAAAGACACATGCACCCCTATGCTTACTGCGGCATTATTTACAATAGCCAAGACATGGAAGCAACCTAAGTGTCCTTCAAGAGACAAATGCACAAGGAAAATATATATACATATAAACAATGGAATATAAACAATGGAACATTACACAGCCATAATAAAGGATGACATCACACCATTTGAGACAACAAGGATGCACCTGGAGGGTATTATGCTAAGTGAAATAAGTAAGAATGAGAGAGACAAATACCATTTAATTCCATTCATAAATGGAATCTATAAACAATGCATAAACAAAAAGTAGAATAAGAACTATAAATTCAGAGAACAAACTGATTGGCTGCCAGCGGGGAGGGGTTGGGGTTGGGGCAAAAGTGGTGAAGAGCAGAGGGAGATACAGGCCTCCAGTTATGGAATGAGTAAGTTATAGCAATGTAACTGGACAGACGGTAGCTATACTTTAAACACAGCATAATGTATAAACTATCACATCACTAAGTTGTACACTTAAAACGCATGTAACACTGTATGTAAACTCTACTAAAAAAAAATAGAAATAAAAAATAAAATATCCTCATTAAAAAATTTATAACCCCAGCAAAGTTATCATTCAAAACTGAAGGCAAAAATAAAGACATTCCCACATCAGTAATGACTGAGATAGTTCAGTGGTAATACCCACCTTTCAAAAAATACTAATGAAATACTGGGGTTGGGGAGGGAAATACCTAAAGCTTTCAGGCTGAAAGGAAATGGTCCAGAGAGTAAATCAAATCTTCATGAAGAAATAAAGAGCACCAATAAAGGTGATTATGTAGGTGAATATAAAAGTATAAATATTTTTCTCTTAATAGTTTTAAAAGACAGCTATATAAAATAACTCTAAAACCATATTGCTGGTCATATAATACATAAACATTTAATTTATATAAAAACAAGAGTCCAGGGGTGCCTGGATGACTAGTCGGTTAAGTCCAACTTACGGTTTTGGCTCATGCCATGATCTCAGGGTTGTGGGATCGAGTCCCATTTCTGGCTCCATGATCAGTATGGAGTCTGCCTTAGATTCCCTCTCCCTCTCTTTCTCCCCCTCCCCCTTCTCTCTCCCTTTCCAAATTAATAAGTAAAATCTTAAAAAAAAAAAAAAAAGAAAACAAAAAAAACACAAGAGCCCAAGTACAAGAGAGGGGGGGAAATGGAGTTAATTGGAACAAACTTTCTGTATCTTTTTTTTTAAAAGACTTTATTTATTTATTCGACAGAGAGATAGCGAGAAAGGGAATACAAGCAGGGGGAGTGGGAGAGGGAGAAGCAGACTCCCCGCCCAGCAGGGAGCCCAATGGGGGCTTGATCCCAGGACCCTGGGATCATGACCTGAGCCAAAGGCAGACGCCCAATGACTGAGCCACCCAGGTGCCCCAAACTTTCTGTATCTTACTGAAATTAATTTAGCTTGAATCTGAAGTAGACTGCATGTAGATTATAATAAATACAATAATTTGTAATAAGATATATTTAATCGCCAAAACAAAGAAAGTAACATAAAATTTAATAAAAATTTCAACAATATCAGCAATAAAAAGGAACAAACCAATGATACATATCACAACATGAATTAACCTTGAAAATACTAAGCCAAGTAAAAGCAGCAAGAGCAAAAGACCACATACTATATGAGTCTATTTATATGAAATGTTCAGAAAAAGCAAAATTACAGAGGCAGACAGTAAATATTTGGTCACCTGGGAGTTGGAGTAGGAATGGGGACTGACAGCACATGGAAGCAAGAGATCTCTTTGTGGTAATAAAAATGGTCTTTACCTGGATTTTGGTGATAGTTGCACAACTCTGTAAATTTACTACAACACATTGAATTTGCAGACTTAATTTAAGGGTGAAATTTATCATATGTAAATTATACTTCAGTAAAGCTGTTTTAAAATATGAACTGGTGATTCAATAAATAATTACAGATCTTTTATAAGCTAAAAGTTGTCATTTAGTTCAAAACCTTCATTTTATATACATGAAGATTCCTCATGTGCCAGGATTTGTGCAAAGTATTACAAATTCAGAGATAATAGGACACAATTTCTACCCCTGTGGTATTTATAAGAGAAAGAAAGAGACATGGAAATTGACAATAGCAATATAGTACTGTTATTATAGTGAGTGCTGAAAATTTAAAGAACAATTAACTAAAGGGTGGTGGTAGGGGAAGGAAGAGTATGACTACCACTAGGTGGCAAAACACTCAGTTAAAGGATTCTAATTCCCAGCCCATCTTGTATAAAGTGTGGTTATGTGATTAGTCCTGCTCAGTAAGATATAACTGAAATATTGTGTAGGTCTTCTGTTAAAGGCTACTTAAGAGGAACAGTGTTATCTGGCAGAGGTGCCCTGTTTCTCCCCTTTCCTTCTTGCTATCTAGAATTAGGATGTGATAGCTTTGCGCAGTGGCAGTATCTCAGCCAATGAGGTTTATCCGAGGTGCGATTATTGCTAATAGAATTAGGACATGATGATTGGAACTCAGCTTTCTTTTACGTGAAGTAACCTTGTGAATGGAAGTTTCAAATCAAAGATGGTAGAAAGACCCCACATCCTTGATGATTTCATGGAACAACCAGGTTAGGCCTGGAATACCTACCTCTGTAGTTCTTTTATATGAGAAAATAAAACCCTGATTTTCCAAACCACTGTTATTTCAGAACGTCATAGCCAAACCTAATCCTATTTAATTGGGGGAGAGATACTGAAGATTTCTAAAGAATGTGTTACTTGATCTGTTTTGAAGGATGACAGGAAGTCTACAGAAGGAGAAGGGAAAGGAAAGGGCATTCATGAGGCTATGCCATGAAAAAGCAAGGCACAGAGAATGCTGAGCGGTTCTGAAAGGTTGGAGCATAGAATCTGAGGGAAAACATGGCAGGGATATTATCATTCTGGACCCATTTCTTAATTGTCCACACAGTTCCTATGAAGAATCTCAGAAAACCAGGTTAGACATGGCTACAGGGCATTTTATGATCCCAGAGCTCTCTGAACTTCTCTATTATAAATACTCATTCCAGTTGTAATTTGTTTGCCCAATTCTTTTCTTCCTGCTACATCTGAAGCACCATGAGGTCAAGGGACCATATCTGTTTTATTCACTACTAAATTTCTAGGAAAGGTCCTGGTATAAAGCAGAGTGCTAAGTATTTGTTGACTAGTCAAGATGAATGAATTAATGGGTAAATAAAAAGAAACCTTTTATTGAATTCTTACCTAACAAATTTAAGAAAACTCAGTTTTAGTGGTTTTTTTTCTTAATTCTATCACTATGACGGTATACAAGGAAGGCCAGTTTTTATAGCAGCTGTCTATTCTTTATACATTATATATATTCTTTATACTACTTTCTGCCAAATGTAATCAAACTGCACATCAGATTTCCATATTTTGGGACGCCTGGGTGGCTCAGTTGGTTGGACGACTGCCTTCGGCTCAGGTCATGATCCTGGAGTCCCGGGATCGAGTCCCGCATCGGGCTCCCAGCTCCACGGGGAGTCTGCTTCCCTCTCTGACCTTCTCCTTGCTCATGCTCTCTCTCACTGTCTCTCTCTCAAATAAATAAATAAAATCTTTAAAAAAAAAAAATAAAAAAAATAAAGATTTCCATATTTTACAGTTCTGTATATATCATCTCATCTCAGAAAATGTTTCAATTTAAAGGTGAAATGGAGGAGAACTCTGATTTCTAGGATCTGCCAACAGGATCTCAATATCAAAAAGGTTTCCACAATTAACAAAAAGATCTTTTCATGCAAAAACTCAATAACCACCTCTTGTGCCTGCCTGTAAATGATATGCTCATCTAGAAAATGTCACATTCTAACCATTAGAGCATTCAGCCCATTTGAAATAGCTTTCAGAAAATGGCTTTTTTGCTAATCAAAAACACAACAAAATTGTCTCTCAAGTCAAATGCTTGCAAATAATACAAAATTTCTTCTCAAGGGTTTTTTTAAGAGCAAACAAATTTCAGAGGGAATTTCCCTTAATATAGAATCCAATTATTCATTAAACCTCACAAGTACTTGGGACTCACCTTGTGTCATTCTCTGCTCTTAAAAGAGCTGTTCTTAATGGGGAAACAGTTGTATATAAGAATTATCGTAATAAAAGTGCTATATTGACACAAAGCATTTAAAACAGAGCAAGGATTAAAAAAAGCTTTCATAGTATAGCAGTTTTATAGCTTAAAAGGATGGTGCAAGAGTTAACAGTTACCATTTTGCAGATAAACAGAATCAGAGAAGTTAAATAATTTGTTCAAGATCCCATAGATAGCCAGTGGAAAGCCAGGGACTAAAATCTGGGTCTTCAGATCCCAAGTACAGTCCTTTCTATGGCATCATGCTATTTCCCAATCCAGATGTGATACCTAAAATGGCTGTAATTTCAAAATAGCTTTTTCCTGCCCTCACGCTTTATAATACAGCAGATTTCATCTTCTTTGAGTTCCCCTGAACATGCCATACTGTCTTGCCCCTGAATATTTCCACAGGTTGTTCTCCGTGCCTGAAACACCACCCTTCTCCATCATTCAGGGGTTCTCCCTAATCTACCCTATCTCTTAATCTGGATCATTCCTACTCTTCTTTTCAGGGCTCTATTAGATGCTACCTTCATTGGGAAGCTTCTGTAGTATTTATCACACTCTAACATAATTATATCACACTCCTAACTCCTGCCAAGCCCATGAAAGAGATTAATCTTGTCAGAGTTTCATTCCTACTACCTAACACAAAGTCAGGCACACAGTATGTGCTTGGAAACTATTTGCTGAACAAATTGATTGCCTACCACAGTTTCACAACCACATAATACAATGACCTTAAATTATCACACACCTCTGAAGCAAAGTTATAATTTGCTAGAAATGGATTGCTACATGCAGACTTGCTATATAACATTCCCAGCTACAAGAAATAGTCATCAGGCATTTCTAGAGAGGCTAAAAACCAGCATCCTCAGAGCCCCTCTTTAATGGTTACTTACAAGAGACGAGATTTGCAATGCAAATATATATATATATGCATCAGATTTTATCTTCTGAGAAAAGGCCTGTAATTTAATATAAAAGTATCAGTGTTACTTTTCAAAAGTACAACTGCCATATTGCCTATCACATCCAGCTGCAGAGAGCTGGATGGAAGAGGTCTACATTCATGCCATCTAATACCTTTATTTACTTTTTTTTTTTAAGATTTTATTTATTTATTTGACGGAGAGAGAGAGATCACAAGTAGACAGAGAGGCAGGCAGAGAGAGAGGAGGAAGCAGGCTATCCACCGAGCAGAGAGCCCAATGTGGGGCTTGATCCCAGAACCCTGAGATCATGACCCGAGCTGAAGACAGAGGCTTAACCTACCGAGCCACCCAGGCACCCCCTTTATTTACTTTTCTTGTAGAAGAAAAGAACTGAGGCACAGAGAAGGGAAGGAACTACCCCAGAAATACACGGCGAGTCAGGGTCACAGACTGGGTTCTTAACAAGACCCAGGTCTCTAACTTTAGACTGGATCATTTTCTGGATGGACAGAAGAACAGACAATTAGACAGGAAGACAAACAAATAAACAATTTAGCTGTATGAAAACACAGTCCCAGTAAAGCTCCTCTTCCCCTTTTACTGGTCATAAGTCTTAGGTGGCATTTTGGATTGATGTGTCATGAGACACAGCATACTAAGGAAATATAAAGAAATAAAGGTATTCACTGAAGAACCTATTCAAAGTACTCTACCAGAATATGTTAGTTCTCTGCAGCAAATCCATGAAGCCCATAAGATCAGCAATTCTCAACAGCAAGTTTATAGCACATAAAGTTCTCATCTTTCCTACGGAAGCAACATGTGCAAAATGCTACCTGGAAACTTCACATAATGGTTAAGAACATAGGTTTCTTTTGTTATTGTTGTTGTTTTAAGATTTTATTTATTTATTTGACAGAGAGAGATCACAGGCAGGCAGAGAGAGGGGGAAGCAGGCTCCGTGCTGACCAGAAAGCCCAATGCGGGGCTCAATCCCAGGACCCTGAGATCATGACCTGAGCCAAAGGCAGAGGCTCAACCCACTGAGCCACCCAGGTGCTCCAAGAACATAGGTTTTTAAGTCATGGCACCTGTGAAGCCTTGGATAGTAAACTTAATTTCAGTTTCTCTTGCATAGAGTGGAAATATTAGTGTTAATTACATCCTAGGATTTTAGGGAGGACAAAATGAGCCAATAAATGTTTTGTCAGAGAATATGTAAATACTCAAGGAATGGTGACTTTATCTTCACTTCATCTAGGGAAACATCCTCATCACTTGCAGTTTTCAATGGCTTGGACCCACAATGTCTATAAGACACCCAGGACTTTGGACTATCCTCTTCCTGGGTCTAAGGTTTTAAAAGGGTAATTAGAGAGCCTCAAAAAAAAAAAAAAAAATACTCTTTTGAGTATTAAATTCATCTTGAAGCTATCTGCTACAGGAAGGCAATTATCTCCTCATCTATAGCATGGAAATACTACCATTTAATCTAAAGAATCGCTGTGAAGATGGACAGGGAGCCACAAAAGACTAAAGTAACAAAGTGACATATTTCATGAGAAGATGGAGGATGAACTGGCAGAAAAGAAACAAGGTTTCCACTAGAAAGGAAGAATGGAAATAGAAAAGAAAGAAAGAACTGGGGAATTATTTTGAATCATAACTGATAGGATTTAGAAACTTTCTGTATGCAGGGCTCAATGAGGGGAAAGTAAGGGGTTTCCAGATAAGCACTGAAAAATGGCATTCTTTTTTTTTTTTTTTTTAAGATTTTATTTATCTGTGAGAGAGAAAGAGCATGAGCAGTGGAGGCGGGGGAGAGGCAAAGGGAGAAGGAGAGGTAAAAGCGGACTTCCTGCTGAGCAGGAACCGCAACACGGGGCTCAATCCCAGGACCCTGGGATCGTGACTTGTAACCAACGGAGCAACCCAGATGCACCTAGAGGGCTTTCATTTTTTTTTTTTTTAAGATTTTATTTATTTATTTGACAGAGAGAGATCACAAGCAGGCAGAGAGGCAGGCAGAGAGGAGGAAGCAGGCTCCCCACTGAGGAGAGAGCCCAATGCGGGGCTCGATCCCAGGACTCCGAGATCATGACCTGAGCCGAAGGCAGCGGCTTAACCCACTGAGCCACCCAGGCGCCCCAAGGGCTTTCATTTTTGAACAAGGAGAGGCAAAGACACCCAATGAATAACTGGGAATCAATATGATCTGAGATGACGAATGCTGTGAACTAACTACCCACCAACCATTAGTTCATTTGCTTAGAAGTCAGCAGTAGTCCAACAAGGGTATAAAGGCAGTAATGAAGGAACATGGAGGAAGACTAACAGGACAACATAATATGCTGTCAGGTATAATTCAGAGCCAAGTAGGGCTCCTAGAAAGCATGTCTTTAGAATATTCTCAGTTGCTAAAGGAGCAAGCCTGCTTGGCTCCCAATATGCTTGCTTGCTTTCTTCCTTCTGTCAACAAACCTTCAATGGGTATTTATATTATA